GGGGAGAGGCCGCGGGGTCCCCGGGAGGGGCCGGGCGGGCAGACGCACGTCGCGCCTGGAGACCTTAATTCTCCCTGAGCCGTGCGGAGGCCTGACGTCAGCAGGGCTCCCGCGTACGTGTGGCGTTCGTAAACCCTCGCCCTCGGCCTGAGGGGAGGTCACTGCCCCGGGCTGCGGTCAGGGATCCGGCCGTGCTCCCCCCCAAGGGGAGCTGCGGAGGGCATCTCCGGGAAAGGTAACGCCCTGCCCCGGGCTGCGTTCGCTCAGAGCCGCCTTGTGCTGAGGGTTCAGGTGAAAGAAACCGCAAACCTCTCGGTGCAGGAGGGGCTTGATGTGCTTGATAGTCGGCTCGTACCCTCTCGTAAGTCGCCTGGCCGTCTCCACGCAGGCAGAATAACTCGAGAGGGACTTGGCGGGTGGGCGTCCGGCCGAGCGCGTCGGGAGCGGGGCGCTGAAGATGCCCGGGAGCCGTCGGTTGGATGAGAAGGGTTTTTTTCCGATGTAAAGAGCTTAAATGGCTTGTTAAAGTCGGGTCGAAACATTTCTGGAAAACCTATGGAAAGAACGTGCGGGTTTTTTCTGCCGCGTAATGTTTGGGTGAGCCCTCAAGAGAACGCTTAAAGAGCTGTGGAGCTTCAGGTGTGTCAGTAAAACGAGGGAAGTCTTGTGGTGTTCGTGGTCTAAAAGCTATTCAAGTGGGGGTGGCTTTCTTCTAAAATAGTGCATCAGCAGAACACGAATAGCTAAATTTTGTCACCTAAATAACACTAGAAGTGGCAATGCATTTCTGTTTCTTCAGTTAAAACTAATGCAAGCTTTAAGATGTTCAGCTGAATGCTGTTATTTTTAGGTCTCTGAGGTTTTGTGATAAACATATTAAAAATGTGATAAATCCCTTGAGAGAGAGGCTCAGAGGCTCAGTTTTGAGAAAAATGAGGATTGATATAAAAAAAATAATAAAATAATCCTGTTCAGAAGCAAAAATGCCACCCGTTGAAAGATAGCTGTGTCCTAACAGAAGCAGCAGCTTAATCTTGGACCTCATCACACTGGAGGACTAGATCTTCTGAGACATAAGCTTAAAATGCTTTTTTGATCTATGTTTTGAAACATGCTCAGCAATTGAATTTGAGGCTGCATCAGCAGTTGCAACAGCTTTCCTGTGCTGCCTTTCTTGTGTACAAGTATCTGCTGCTCTCGCTCCCCAGAGGGACTCTGAATTCCTTAACGTTGTGAGTGGGTGACCTTGATACTATCACTGAACTGTGATTTCTTAAAGACGCTATGATTAATGTGACAAGTATTTCAGCTGTTAAAGGCAGATCCATAAACATTCATTTTCAAGTGTTAGAAAGTTAAAGCTTAATTACCACGATGCCTGCTTTATCCCAGTGGGTTTCCAAGCTTAGTTATTTGAAAGGTTTTTTTATTTCTCAGGAACTTAGTTTCTGCTGGATTTGTTTTGGTTTGGGGTGTTTTTTTTTTTTTACTGTCTCTATTAGAAACCTGATTTTATGGTGTTTTATTTTATTAATTCCTGCTGCGTCCTGGTGTTGAGAACTGAAAGGGGAATCTACAAATCGGAGGAAGCAGTTATTTCTTTGTGACTTGAATCTGTAATATGTTGGGTTATAGTAATAAAACCTCTTTTTTGCAACTGACATTGTAGCGTGGGAAGTAGTGAGCAGCTGCTAGCATAACTGAGCTGCTGCTGATCGCTTCTCAGAATGCCCCACCGAGACCCCATGTCATGGGAGAGATTTTAACATCTTAATTTTAGCAGAAATTTACAGTTCTGTTACCAGGATAAGCTGCAGAAACTTAACTTGAATTTTTCTGGATCCCTGTTGATTTTTGTGGGTTTCAGTTTGTTTGAGTAGGATAACATGCAGCTGTGCAAAATAGTTGATCACAGGACACTGAGGTCAAAGAGTTTCCAGAGGGAAAACAGCTGTATAGGGTGGTGCACCAACATTTGATACTTTGCTCTACATGAATGAGGATATGGATAGATTTGATAAAAAGTTATTAAGGGGTTTCATTTCAATGACTGTGGTGCTGCTGTTTATTTTTGATAATAATTTGGGTAACTCTGCCTTACAGTAACAACTCACTGTTATTTACGTAACAAGCTTCTATTTGATTGCACCTCTGATAACTAGTTAGTTTTTATTATAAACATTTTTGCTTAGATGAGCTGACATAGTTTAAGCTGCTTTGGATGGTTCTTGTGGCCTTGGACACTTAAAGGAAGCATCATTAGACTGTACACCTGATTAATTTTTTTGTTGTTAACAAGAACTTTCAGTAACTTTTTTATTTCTTTTTAAATGTAGTATCTAAAATTTTGCCACTTTTATCTGCAATGTAAAAGTATAAACTTCCTTCTGCACTGAGGGATTCTAGGACAGGTCTGTGAAAGAGAAGCTCATTTCATCGAGAGGTAGTCTGTGGTTAGGAGGAAGTGTTCAGCTGTTATAGGTAACCAGTTCGAATATTTGTGAAAGTCAGAAGCCTGCTGACTGTTGTAACTAGTCTTTATTGACTACATTAATAGAAATATATTTGACACATTTCTTACTATAAAGGGGTATTAGTATCCTTTTCTTAATTTTCAGATGTTATTTTACTATTAACAATTGCTTTGCTTGCAGCCCCACTGGGAAGCGTTGGGAAGAATACTGAAATCTTGAGTTTAGGACAGATGGAAGGGTAGACCTTCCTTCCGCCCCCTTCCCCCCCCCAGTAAGGATATAAAGTTTATCGTGAGGAAGATTTCAGTTATTTGGTGTGTTTTTATAAAAGCAAACTTAGTGATATTCTTGGGGGTAAAGCTTTGAATGATTATTTATGATGGAAGACACTGAAACACAAACTTGCCTGTAATGTAGTATTAAAAGAAAATAGCGTGGAGGCAGGTAGGGGACTTTTAATCTAAGCCCCCTTGATGTGGGTAGTTTGTGATGCACCCGCCAGGCTGTGCTGTAAAAGAAAATGGCGTGGAGGCAGGTAGGGGGACTTTTAATCTAAGCCCCCTTGATGTGGTAGTTTGTGATGCACCCGCCAGACTGCCATCTGCTTTCTGGGAGCTCATAAACAGGGAGGAGGCTGCAGGCTGGGTGGTTTGTTGTTGATGGACTGCAGCTCCCGTCTTGTTCCTTGCCATGTGACTGTACCCAGGGCTGTACCAGGCTGGTGACTTAAGGCTGTTGCACATTTGGTGGTAGGAAGCTGTGCCACGTCTGTGTTTTGATCATCTGTCACATAGTTCCCTAGGCCAATAGATAGCCTTGCCAATGAAGGGAAAAAGGCAGGAAAAAAACATTTTGTTTTTTTTCTGTTTTCCTTGACACTCACATTACATTAGTAGTTATAGACAATGTTGTTTACCAAACTTCACTACTAATGGTAATGGCAATGCAAATATTGAATAACTTACTGTTTACGTTGTACTGTTTACATTTGTTTCCCATCAGTTTTATGCGTAATCTGAAGTCACGTTTCTATCAATGACACAGTATTTGCAATGTGGGATAAGCTACCTTGTATTAAGATGATGCCCTCAAGCTCTTTCACTAAAGCAAGAAAGTGCATAAATGGGTATCGATGTATTTTCCTGTAATTTTTGCGTGGTATGTAATACAAGGATTTTTTTTCTTTAAACTAATAAAGGTTTTTGTGGCATTTTATCTGGACAGGAAGGGAAAGCAGACAGATGCTTGTGAGTGCCCCATGGCTGCAGCTGCCTCAGTTCATTCATTTATTGCCTATTGTAACTTGGAAGCATTCTTTAGGTAAGAAAGCCACTTCAAAATACATTGTGTGGTTCATAAACTTAATACACTTCTGTGTTGAACCTTTAAATTTTGTGTTCTCAATTATAATGTTATTTATGTGTTCTGTTTACGTGTGTCATTATAAACCTATCTTCTATGTGTTAGAAACTGCCAGCACTTTTGCAAATGAATTTTACATGCCATGCAGAGTTAGCAAAGGGACAGTCTGCTCACTTGACAGAAGAACACGTAATGCTCGTAGACTGCGTGCCATACAAGGCCACCATAAATTACAGACTTCTTCAGATGCCATCTACGAACAGAGTTACTAATGTATATCAACTTTCTAATTATAGACAAGCATAACTATGCAGCTCTTAAATTTGCTGATGTGGGAGCTGAGCAGCAACATTACTTGCACAGACTTCAGTACTTGAGTTTGATTTTGCTTAGGAGATAGGGGCAGCTTCTCTTGTTGTATTCATAATTAACACGTGTACTACACTTGTATTAAACTCTACAACTATAAAGCTGATATTAACTGGGTAGTTTTTCAAAAGATGATGATATGACCTGGGAGAATCTAAAGCCTCATGTCTCCCATCTTTTAAAGAAAAATAAGAGTTCAGTGTTAGAAGGTTTCTAAAGATGTTACTACTGGTTGAACACAATACTTTGTAAACATCTTCAGATTTTAAACCTCCTTTTTCATTTCAAACCTGTCATGATCTAGTAAGATGTGTGGTGGTGTTCCTATAGCTTTCCATTAAACCATCTTCAAATAACGTAAAATGGGTAACTGAATTTGGAGGTTTTGGGTATACTTTCTTAGAGCAAACAAAGATACTCTTCCATACTAAGATACAGGGTGGTTTTCTTGTATATGAGTACCTTTGTACATCATCGGTATCTTTTTTTTCCAGATAGCGCTTAATTAGCCAAAACAGTTTCTTTACTGTAAAGATTATCGCAATGCAGTAAGCATACTTTTGGAGTAAAAGTGAGTAACATTTAAAGTCAGAGTCCTTAAATTTTAAAATACTAGAATTCGTATCTTTAACTATTTTGATTCATGTGTTTTTGGTATACAGTAAGCTGAAAAAATTTAACGTTTCTTATCCAAGTTTTGTAATTTCTTTAAGTAATATTCGAGAATCCAGAGGTGTATCCGTGTTGCATAAGAGGTACTGATGTGACTGAAATTGTGGATAATGCAAGAACTAGATTTGTGCCAACAGTTACACCTTCCCATTAGTTAAACGATAGTTTTAGATAACGTTTGGTAAAACTAATTTACTTGTCACATTCTGTTGTTCTACTTCCATGTCTGTCCTGCTGTGCGGAGTGTACTATTCATCTCAGTCTTTGTTCCAAAACTGAGTTTAGTCCCTCCAGAGGGTCTCCCAGACGTTGCAGAACAGTTTTTCTTTGGTTGGTGGCTTCACAGGTCAGTTCATCTTCTGGGACCAGTCCCTGCCTTCTGGTTAAGGAATCCATGCACACATACAGGATGACTCAACAGTGGGATGGATGTTCAGATACCAGAAGGGTGCTGGTAACTTGACAGGAACTTCCACATTCTTTGGAGGTATGCGTGCATGTAAACCTGTCATTGAATACTACCTGAATTATATCACATGGAACTATAATTTAGTTAACTTGTGTTTTAAAATACATACTCTTTGTAGTTTAGGTATTCAGAACGAAAGAAGCATTCACATTTTCACAGTAAATATTAGGGCTTCATGTCTGATAAAAACTTTGTGATGTATAGCCAATGGAACCTTTTTCTGGCTTTGCATTCCACAGTAAGTAATATAATGTAATTTTGTTAGATTTAAAGTACTGCAATGTAGAATACTAAAAATAGAAATTCTAGAGTTACCGGTTTTAAAGGGATGTAGCAACAAGAACAAGTTACGGCCACGTTCCAGCGAGAGCGTAGATACTATGTACGCCATGCATACCTTGTCCCATCTCTTCATACGTCTAGACTGGATATGCTGCATCTGGTCTATAGCCTGGACTGTGGTTTAGGGGAATGGTGTCCTTTCTGGTAGTTCTCAGATGCCAAAACTTCTTTGTGGGAGCCAAAACAACACCCATGAGGCTCACGTAAGTTTCAAATAAGAAAGTGAAAATTTCCATTTTTTTCAGAAACTCACATTTTACCGAGATGTTGCGGATTTGTATGAGAATAGCAAAAGCATAGAGAAGCTTCTCAGACAACAGCATTTGTTTAATTTCATTTCTTTGTTCTGGACTTTAGTTTTAGGAAACAGCTAAATTTGTAATCCCTCCCAAGGAGGGAGGAGGGGGGAAAAAAAGAGCGCAAGTGTTTGACTCAGGCTAAATTTAGCAAGGCTATGAGCAACTGGAAGAGAGAGTTATGTAGTGGTTAATTACTATATCCACACATAATGCTTTGGAATGCCCATTCATTGTGTGACTTAAAGCACTCAAAAGTCAAAACGTGGTTGTGTAGGTGATAATTTGATAAAATGGTCTAGCAGCAAAATGTTTATTCATGCTGAGCTTGCATCTTCGTTACATTAGTAACAGTAATGTATTGTTTAGAAATACTGCTTTGTTTTGGAGCATATTGTTCTTCATTCTCTGACTTGCTGCCTTTGGTTGGTAATGCAAGGCATGTGTCTATTCAGGGAAGAAAAACTTGTGTTATTAAATAAAATTTAAGAGTGTTACTAGCTTATCCTTCTGCATATCACCTACCACTGTCATAAATGGAACTTTAAAGAGACTAAGTGAAGATTTCTGGAAACATTCCAGGTCAGGTTGGACGGGGCTCTGAGCAACCTGATCTAGTTGAAGATGCCCCTGCCCATGGCAGGGGGGGTTGGACTAGATGACCTTTAGAGGTCCCTTCCAACCCAAACTGTTCTATGATTCTATGATTTCTGAAGACTGCTAGAATAAATTCTTTGGTGGTTGAGATGATTTGTATGGAGAACAAACAGTAGTGAAGCTGGTCATAAAAACAGCTCTCGATTAATTGGCTAGGTTGTTCTTTCCCACTTCTCAAAGAATGCACATGCTTTCTTTCCATAAAAATGGAGTTGCACTTGCGTGTCAGACATGTCATCAGCCATACACATCAGGTTATCATAGAATTGTTTAGGTTGGAAAAGACCTTTAAGATCATCAAGTCCAACCAGGCTTTATAAGGTGGGGAAAATGCCAGATAAGTTTCTGATAGGATAGTCTATATTTTGGCAGCTGTTTCTGGATTTTGTTCTGCTTCATCATGTGAAAGCAGAGCTTTTCCTTATGCTGCTCTTTCTGACCTCTGGCTCATGTGGCAAACGTTCCTTAGTGAAGCAGATTCATGCAGTTTGCTGTATTCCAGGATCACTGTCCTTTTCTCCTGCTGAAAAATGGCATGTGAACCTCACTTACTTTGCCCTGTTTTGATAAGTGGCCTCTGAAGTTTTTTGGTGTTAGTTGTACAAACATTTTTTTCCTCTGCCTGGCATGATTTAAAAAACAAAACAACCAACAAAGCAAAGCAGTGGGGGAGGCGGGCAAAACTTTTGAATCTGACTCTTCTGAACACATCTGTTCCAAGTTCATCAGTGTTTAAAAAGAGAGTTTATGAATTGGGTTCTGTAGTTGATAAAATTTTTCTAGAAATCGTGAGTAGATTCCGTAGTTTGCTGAGTTTATACTTAAACGTACACAATCTGCTACTGTTAAACTAAATTGCTGTTACAAAGTGCTTTATATGCTATGAAGTACTAACACATGAAACTACACTTGATAAATTAACGAACCCAAGTTCTCCAGATTCAAATCAAGTTGTACGAAATAAAAGGTATCGAGAAAGAAGGTCCTTGCTAATGTCTGTGCACTGGATATTTACATATGGACATACCTTTTTTCATAGTAACATGCTAGATTTAAATTTTACTGACTTGTTCTCTCTTACTGTGTTTTCACTGCCTTCTCTCCCTTCCTCCCCTAATCTTCCGTATTTTTCTAGAGACCTACTGTACGTGAGACCTTTCAGGAAACTGTGCAGTTTGAATACATCGGATCGTTCCGGTACCTGAAACTTTCATGATGAAGAGAGCTAGGCAGAAAGTTGTGGTTGAAAATGAAGCTCCTCAAACATCACAGAAAAGCAAAAAACAGAAAACTTGTTTATATGGCTCACTGTTTGGTGAATCTGACTCGTGCACCTCAATGGACTGGGGAAGCCTTCCGCACCCTGTTATTCTGCGTATTTTTCAGTTTCTACCTTTAGTAGATCGAGCCAGGGCATCTTCTGTTTGTCGAAGGTGGAATGAAATTTTTCACATCCCAGATCTCTGGAGGAGATTTGAATTTGAACTTAGCCAGCCAGCTACTTCTTACTTAAAGTCTACACATCCTGATCTCATTCAGCAGATTATCAAGAGGCATGCTGATCATCTGCAGTACGTCAGCTTCAAGGTAAGTCTTGGATGAATGGAGGCTTGTTTTGTCACATTACTGTGCATAATGTATGCAGCTTCTCTATGTCGGTTGGCTCAAGTGTTGTACCTGGGAAGTCTTACATTTAAAAACGCAACTCTTGCAGCAACTTATTTCCACACATGCACGCTGTCTCCTTCCAATTTTTACACTCTAATTTCTACAAAGTAAAGAAAGAGCTAACCTTGTGCAATACGGTGCTGAAGATTGAATGATATGTTTTCAAAATATGCAGAACACGTAGTTTCTGTGAATCAGTGTTAGTGGCAGTCTGAGTACTCGGCAGATTATTGTGCGTAACAGTAAACTTGATTTAAGTGAAGGCTCTGTTTGTGGTCTCAGGATTGCATAAATGTGGGCTTGTTTCATTTGAATACTTAATACAGTTTACTCTGTTTATCTGAGAAGATCATAGTTGGAGTTACAGGTGCTTTGTTCACTTTTGGCAGACGCTCCTCCTTAGAGGATGTCATAGTTCTAAGCTGTGAAGGAAAAGCAGAAGAAAGGATTGATATTAAAGCTAGGATGAAAATCAGAAGCTTCTTTTTCTCAGCACATTTGGAGATACCGTGATTTGCTTGCACAGCAGTTCATGGATAATCAGTTATTAAATACTTGTAACTTCTGCACTTCATATAACAGATTATCATGAATTGGCATTATAATGTCTTAAAGCAACTTTTATGCTTTTTCAGCTACTCTTTTGTCATCTCGGCTCCTACAGAGGAGGAAAGTGAGATGAAATAGTGATTTGTCCAAAGTTAGTTATCAGGCTTATAGAAGAATTGCGAATCAGTTCATTATTCAAGATGCAAAGGTGTTGTCCCTGCAGGTGAAATTGATGAGTTTGCTGGAGTATACCTAGGCTTTATCAAGTCTTTTTTCTACTCTGAGTTTAGAATTGGCATTTAAAAAAAGGTGCATACACACTACTGCCTATCTAACACCAATACTAATTACAGTTGTTTAGGAAGGCATGAGGTTATCTGAAGACAAGTCTTAGGTTTAAGTTCTTTGTTCATACTGGAAATACCCAGCGGTCATACTCAGGAAAATTTTCGAATAGTAACTTTCCTGAACTCTTTTCTTGTCTTGAAATTTCTAATTAGTGTTGCGTTTTGTCCTTGTGGTAAATCCAGTCTGGTGCAGCACAGCAAAGTGGATGTGGACCTTGCAGCCTTGGGTATCCATGATGCTGTTTTCTAAATAATGATGAAGAATGGCTTCATGATTTTTAAATTGCTTTTATAGGTTGATAGTAGCACTGAGTCAGCAGAAGCAGCCTGTGACATCCTTTCTCAGTTGGTGAACTGTTCTATCAAGACACTGGGTTTGATTTCTACAGCAAAACCAAGCTTCATGAATGTCTCTAAGGTAATGTTCTACAAACTGTAACTAGAGTGACTTAACTCTTAAACCACTTCAGCTTTCTTACTGTGTTGTTACTCAGTTGATGGTAATTTTTATGAAACAGTCTGTATTTATTGGTGTATCTTCTTTAATTTGTGGCATCCATTAGTATTAGGAAAATAGTTAAATGTTGATTCCATTCATTAAATTTAGTAGTGTTGATACTTTGTAGTGTAGAGATGGGGAATCATTTAGAAGGCTTGAGTTTCCTCATTTCTAGATTAAAAGATGCAATGATCACATGCTGCAACATATTCTTAAAATATTGGGGAGATTTTTTTCTTCGACTCTGTAGGTCACAGCAGAGTTACTTTCTGGAAAGTAAAATAAATGCCATTTCCTTTTTTCTGCATATAAATTCTAGATACTTCAGGCTCATCACTATGTCCATTTATCCCTGTTTTATTACAGTGAAAAGATAAATCGGAGTGGATGAGTTAACTACTGAGTTTAAAGTTGACTTTTGTCACATGCAGCAGCATATTTTTAAACGAAGATTTCCTATGTTCATGTTCAAATAAGCCTGTCTTTGTTACACAAGAAAGGGGATGCCTAAGAAGTGATTATTTTTGTACTTTCTGCGCATGCAAAACCCGAGATTTAGATGCTGAAGTTCTGCCTATCTTTTCATAAGACTTTTTTTTTCCCTTCTTCAATTTCTCCAAATAGGCTCATTTTGCTTCAGCACTGACAGTAGTTTTTGTAAACTCTAAGTCACTATCATCAATCAAGATAGATGACACACCACTTGATGATCCTTCCCTGAAGGTTCTTGTTGCTAACAATAGTGATACTCTAAAACTGCTAAAAATGAGCAGCTGTCCTCATGTATCACCTGCTGGTGAGTAGTGAATATATATGAAAAATGTAGTAGTAAAGTATCATAAAACAATAGTCAAGCCTTAGTTTGAAACAAGTTATCGTAAACCTTCTAGTGCTCTTCTGAGTCTCTTAGCAGAGGCCTTTTATTGACCTAGTCTTGGCTTTGGACAGTTGGAAGGGGAAGAAGAATAATGTCTTTGTGTTACTGAATGAGTTGGATTAATGAAGTTGGAGGTGCTCCTCGCTTGACTGCATCTTCTCGAATCCTGGGGATTTTTTTTACATCTTCTCAGCTGCTTCAGTAGCTCGGATGATAGGCCTTGAGGAGGAAGAGCCTCCAAAATTAGTGCAAGCCTTTAACACACGTTCCAAGGACTTGATGTTCATTGCCCGTTCTGTGTAAGGGTAACCAAATGTGTCCTGCTTAATGTGTGCAACTCGGTAAACTTAACTAACTGGCATTCTGTGGGAACACACGTGCAAAATCCCCGACCCATGAATCAACTACTGGTTGGTGGGATAACGGAGATGAAAGCAGTTGTCAACAACTGTTTTGCAAGGTGCTGTGAGTTTAACTGACTGAGCAAAAGTGTTAATACTTCGAAGTTGCATTTAAAAAAAAAAAAAAATGGAGTGCATACAAATTTCAAAAACTAGTAGTGTTAAGACTGAGAGCCTTTCACTTTCTGTAGTGCCCTCGTGTGTCCAGATCTGGTAGTATGAACTTGCTCATTTTAGCATTAGTTGGTGAAGGGCTCACTCCCTTCAAAATACAGGTTTGCCAGAAAGTTCAGAGGGCTTTTGGGTCCCTTCTCACTTACCTTTCTCCTGAAGCCCTGGTGCTAGGGAAGGGGAATCCTGGTCTGGTCTCTTTCCCATATTCTTATCCAGAGTCTACAAAAGGTGATTTAATCTGTGTATTTTGTATTCCAACAGATTAAGAACTTGTTTATGTCTTAATTGAGGGAAGGGTCTGTTTTAGCATAGCTCTTAAACTAGGCTGCTGGTGGTCATTTAAATAGAATGCTTAGATGAATGCTGAAGGAAGGAGTATTAGGGAAGGGAACAGTGGCAACTCCAGCTGGATCTTACCTGATTTCAGTTGCCTCTTCAAAGTTGAGGAAATTCTGGACAGGGAAGGACAAAGAGGAAGAAAGATATGCAGATCGAAGATGAATGTGACTAGTTAGACTTGCTTCTTTTATTGATAAGTGTTTATGGCCAAAACCCCATAAAAGGATGTGGATATCTAGAACTTGATCATATTTCATGGTTTTTGGATATAGGCATGAATACTCAAGCTAATAGAATTAGTACTTGCTTGAGCTTTACAGCAAGCAACTGTGCTTATATTCACTTTTCATTTTACAGAGTAATTTTTTTGGTTTTTTGTTCCTCAGGAATTCTTTGTGTTGCTGACCAGTGTCATGGACTTAAGGAGCTGGCTTTGAACTACTACATATTAAGTGATGAACTGCTGCTGGCTCTTTCAAGTGAAAAACATGTTGATCTTGAACACCTTCGCATAGACGTTGTGAGTGAAAATCCTGGACAAGTTGAATTTCACACTATTAAAAAGCAAAGCTGGGATGCTCTCGTTAAACACTCCCCCAAAGTCAACATTGTGATGTATTTCTTCTTATATGAAGAAGAATGTGATACTTTCTTCAGAGAGGAAACCCCTGTTACACACCTTTACTTTGGTCGTGCAGTAAGCAAAGCAATGTTAGGTCGTATCGGCATGAATTGCCCAAGGTTAATTGAGTTGGTTGTGTGTGCTAATGGACTTCAACCTTTGGATGACGAACTTATTCGGATCGCAGAGCGCTGTAAGAACTTAACAGCAATGGGACTTGGTGAATGTGAAGTAACTTGCAGAGGTTTTATTGAATTTGTAAAGATGTGTGGAGGCAGGCTTACCCAGCTTTCTATAATGGAGGAGGTACTGATTCCAGATAACGATTATAGCTTAGATCGACTTCATTTAGAAGTCTCCAAACACCTTGGAAGAATGTGGTTTCCTGATATGATGCCAACGTGGTAAATTCTCTACATTTGTGGATAAAATGGTAGAATCGGGGTGTTGCTTTCTATGCAAATAAAGAATTTAAAAACGAAATATGAAAACTTCATTTCCAGATTTGAGTTTTTCTACCTTGAGAACCTCTAGTATAACAGCAAAACATTCTAGAATGTTAATGGTATATTGAAATAGAAAATAGATTAAGTGTACTTAACACTTCTGAAAGTATGTCTGTGGTTTACAGGTGCTTCAAACTTCAGTGAACTTGGGCTTCTCTGAGCTTCAGTTTAAATGTTCCATTCACGTTAAAGATTCTTTTTTTCATGTCTGTGTTTACTCTTTTCAATGTAGTGAGAAGAGGACTAGAGAACCTCTTTTCCTTTAGCAAATCTAACTTTATAGGAAGCTGGATACAACTTGGAGTTCCGGAAAACCGTATTCTTTGTCATGATGTTTTATGCAGCTATTTTTCAAAATATTAATGTTATAAATATAAAAGCTAGTACATTAATATACTTACACTAGCCCAGGTTACTGAAATATAATCTAGCTTAAACTCATGCCACTATATGAAAGTGTTTTGGTAAGTAAGCTTATGCTTACAAAAAACCATTGCAGTTTTAAATTGCACTTTCAATAGTTTTGTCAGATTAGCTAAACTGTATAGACTGCATTGTACAGTATGTTGTTTTTCTGTCTTATGCTTTAAATGGATGGGGAAAAGACCTTGTTAAAATTAATGAGTTTGGAAGTTTGGTTCTAGATTGATTGCTTGGGTGAATGACAAAGCACTTTGGAAACTGCCAAAGTATAAGGAATAGCTTCTGGATTTGAGAGAGTTAAAGTCTTTGATTACAGAGATTTGATGTCTGAATGCTGTTCCATGCTTTCATTATTAAGAGGTAAGAAGGATCTCATAAACGTGGCTAGTGAGAAGGAAGGATCAAATGGAATACAGTTGTCTTCGATCACTTTCTGTCTGGAATCAAGGGTTTAGAGCACTTTAAAAAAAAAAATAATAAAAGATTATTTGCCAGTTAGAGGCCAAAATGGCCTGTAGTAATCTTGCCTGTATCTCGCAGAGCTGTGCTGTAAGCTCCAATTTCTAGAGTAAGGATTTCTGGAGGTGATCCTGAAATTTTTAATTCAGGACTGTTTAATACTTGTTGCTATTGGCTTTTGAGGAAGAAAGTTTCATTTTATTTCTTTGTTTTCTTTAAAGGGGAAAGGAATGGTGAGTTGATGTGAATTAGAATATGTATTTTTGTGTTGACATTTTGGAGACTGTAAACTGAAATGCATTGTATACAAATTTTACTGTAATTATTTTCACGCTGTAGTTGTTGTCTTCCTATTTATAATGAGAAGTCTACATTTGATTTGCCACATCAGATAAAATGTCAGTTTCTTCCGCACTTACACTTCTTTACTGCAAAAATAACAGCTAAAGGCTTAAACCACCATTGTCTTGGACAGACTTGTTTCCAGTTGCAAGCTAAAGGATTTAAGATAACATATAATGCCTCTCTGAATCAGTAATGCATTATTGCCTCTTGAACAGTTAAGAAGCATCTGACTGGTTGCTAGCACCTGTTACCCAAGCACTTGCTTCCATAATTGAGGGGATTATAATTGTCTTTTAAACAAAAGACTGAAATATTTCTAAACAGTATTTGGTTTAAGATGTGTGGTTTGCTTTAAATGTAAGTGTAATAAAGTGATCTAATATGTGCTCTGCTATTAGACTCTTATCTGCTATTAGACTCTTATCTGCTATTAGACTCTTATCTATCTGTTGCACTGCATCCTCCTGTTAGGCAGGGTTCTGTACTGTTAGAAACTATATATACTTGACAAACCTGGGGAGAGGCCGTAGAAGCGTTTAACTCTTGGATTATAGCGAATTAGTCCTTGTCATCTCATGTTCGTGCCTCAAACTTGAGGATTTTTGACATGCTGAAACTGTAAAATGGATTGTGGACAAATCTTGTAGATGGTTGGTAGAGTTCTAAAGTTCTTCATGTCTCTGTAGCCAACATAACGGCACTAATGAAGTATCAAACACTAGTGGCTATATACAGAACTATAGTTCAGGAGGAAACTGTTAAAAGGCTTCTTTGAGTATTGTCCCTTTTTCTGTCCCTCTTACTAAAGCAGCTTTTCTGTGAAGCCACGAAGGTTAGCTTGCTCCAGCTCCAAGCTTCTAGAAAAATGGGCCTGCATTTATTAATGTTGTGAACTTTGTGATGATTTTTTTGTGCATTTGCTCTGCTAACTAATCTTAACAAGCAAGACCAATTGATACTTGAGTTTATAAATAAATGCCAACAAAATTGATACGTTAGTCTCAATGTGAAATATTGATTCTTCACTGGTAGTGTGGGAAGCTAATTTTAATTGAAAGATAACTTCTGACATGTTAATGTTGAATTTTATAGTTGTAATGTTAGATTTGCAATGTTAGATTTGTTTAGTGTTATGTGTTGGTGCTACGGTATATGCATTGTGCTTTGAGGAGTGTCAAAACACTGCCCTGTGTAAAGCAACATTAGTTCTTCTTTTCCTTCTTTAATAGGTCATCCCGAGAGACTGCAGTGGAGGTATTGCACTTGGCAAGAGCCTGCAGATAGCTGCCTGCTGCCTTTACTTCCTACTATCCCAAGAGTAGCCTGTACTTCAGAGCTCTGCCTTGTCCTAGCTAAGGCAAGTTTTGTTTATTTTATTGGCTTTTCCTAGTTTCACTGCCCTGCAAAGGCTTTCTAAAACCCCATCTCTAAAGTGTATAATGCAGTGATACAGTTTGTTAGAGTAACTAAAACCCTCAAAATGAAGTACAGAATTTACACCCGATAGGCTAAGGAGATTTGTAGGGTCACTAAAAAGTCCAGGTTACAGTGAGAAGCTAGCAGTAGTGCACCTTTTCTGCCACATGAGGGGGTGAGCTAGTTTTCATGCTCACTGACTTTTCAGACTCCTTGAGAAAGCTTATAATTAGTCATTGCTAATTTCCTGATTCTCTTGTAAATGCAAATTCCAACAAAAACTCAGATCTTTTTTCCCTTGCGTGGAGTCCCTTTTGCCATCCAATAGAGACACTGGTGGTTCTGGCATGACAACTCCAAACAGCCACTCTTATGCCTTGTGGAGTGTTTCAATAAATTTCCTTCTACTCTTCCTCAGTTCAGGTGCCTTCAAAATCTAAAGTAATCTTGTTTGCCAAGGTGCAGTAAAGTTCATCGAGTAGCCCAAGATACAATGTTTGCAACAATTACAGGTACTTAAAAAACCAATACCTAACTGATACCTGGAGTGTATATTAATGTTAGCACCTTGCAATATTATGTAAGGCCCAAAGTACTGAATCAGTAGTAATGTAAACTTGTGCATATTGTATAACTTTTTTAATTCTGTAGAATACACTTTTCCCTTCCTTCACTGAGGGAGGCTGTCCATGTGATAAGGAAAAACAACTTTTGGATGCTGAGATGAATTTATTTGGAATTTACTACATTTCCATTTCACACTCTTTGCCCTTTCCCCCTTTCGAGATTGCTAGTAGGATCTGAGTGATCGCAGTTCTCAATGTGAATATGAGATGTGATCCCAGGAAATACTCTTTGCATTGGCAACATTTTCCCAAGGATTTGTCCCTTAGAAATTCTACCGTTGTATCTGATGGGATGGATGCAGATTAGTTTTACACAGAAGCCTGGTGAAAACAAGAGGAGGGAAAACATCAGGTGACTGATGAAGCATTTGTTCTTCTGTACTAACTCTATTTCAGAAATATTAACATTTTCTGTCTTGTCCTTTCCACTGAGATAGTAATAGTGGAAATACCAAAATAGCAAAGATGCTGCGGTGATAAAAAAAAATAGTGGTTGGAGTTGTTGGCTTGGTGGAAGAGGGAAGATGGGAGGCAGGGAGAAGGTGGGGACTCCTGCTTTAGTAAAGAGAAGAGCTTGAAGACATTCTACAGAAGTCAATTATTTGCATTCTAACTTCTAGCAAGAAGTTCTGCATGTAAATGAATAGAAGATGCAGTGTTTCAAAACATGTACCTTGCTTACCTTGCAGCTAGCCAAGTAGTTAATACATCCTATATTACCTCAAGACAAAGAAATATTAAAAATAGCTATTTACCTGATCCCCTGAGTTGGACTCCATCATCAATGGTATTTCCGTTGTGGAAGAATTTAATGGGTCCAGAGAGCTCGCCAGAAAAGGGAGCGTACACGGTTGCTCCATCAGCACAGATGACATCCACACCCGTGTGCTTTCCTTTACCGTTGCGTCTGAAAACATACATAATTAGAGAAGTCTCTTGTGAGGCCTAACATTGTTTAGAGATAGATGAGTTAGCACGCTGCAAGATCTGGAAATGGGTTGTTTGTACTGAGAGAGCATTGACATAGTTGACTGGCTGAAGAATCTATAAAAGTGTTTTGGTGTAGATGATGTAATACCATGTAGGGTTGATGATCTGTTAGAGTTGCAGTTTTGCAAATTGGAGGGGAAAAAAAAAAAAGCCTTCCAAGCCTTTAAATAGAACTGTAGAGTCACAGAAGTGTTGGTTGGCAGGTACCTGTCGAGGACATCAAGTCCAGCCTTCCACTTGAGTCAAGACTGTTCCCAAGACTAGTCAGGTCTGGCACGGCTTAGTCTGAGTCATAAAAACCTCCAAGCACGGGGGTTTTATGAACAATGTGGGCAACCTGTTCTGGTGCTGCATTACCCCTGTAGTGAAAATGCCTCATGTCCAACCTAAACCTTCAAAGCTGTAATTCTTAAATGGCTTAAATAGAGTTCAACTCTATTTCAGTGGAGCAGCAACAAACCCCCACGTGTTCCACTTGTAGTACCTTGGAGCTCCGTAGTATCCGCAGCCATATCGATCGCAGCCTCTTAACTCGTTTGTAGGATTCCCGGAGCACACTATTGCCCAGTGTGTGTCTTGTTGTGGGAATGGAGGAGAATCTTTGAAATACAAAACCACAGCAGGTCAAAGTTAACTTTCGGGTCCTGTTTGAAGTGTTGCATGTTTGTAACTACTATGTTTTAGTTAGATAGGAACATACTGGAATTACATCCCACGCATGTAGTTGGATGTCTTCTCCACAAAATTTGTCATCCTTTAGGAAATGTAAATAGAATGTAGACCTAAGGCTGGATTGTAATGTTTCTAGATTAGGGTTATCTCATGTAAGGAACATGCTTTAAAGACAAAAATTCAAAAAGAGTATCACTGTTCCTAGAGTGTAATCTGAGGGATAGGAAAAGACTCAGTTTTGTTTCTTATTCTATGCCCAGGCTGCTGGGACTGGACTCTTCAAGTCCTCTTCTCCATTACTATCAATGTAGTATTTGCATTTGCAAAGAATCATCCCAAAGTCTGCTAAGATGCAATACTGAAAACATTGCTAGTAGTTAAAAGGGTACAAACAGAAGAGATGTCTGACTCAGTTTATTGCTGAGACTTGATGCTGCTGCTGCTGTCATGGGGGGCAGGAGATAAAATTTGATAAGCTGATATATTCTCCTTCCTGTAACACTGTCTACAGTCCTGTTATGCTGTATTTATATTGCATATTTTCTTTCTTTCAGATGTTGCTGTCAGAACCTAAGACAGAGGGGACTATTGCTATTTGATATTGTCCTTATTTGAAATGAATTAATAACTTAATTCTCGTTCATTATACTACTTATTCTGGGGTTGGGGGGGTTTGTTGTTGGTTTTGGGGTTTGTTTTTTTTTTTACCAGGCGTAAGTAGAGGAGTAGGATCAGAGTGGTCGCAGTTCTCAACATGAATGTGAGAGATAATGCCAGGAAATACTCTTTGCATTGGCAGCATTCTCCCGAGTTGTTGCCCTCTACGGATTTGGCCGTGGTATCTGATGGGGTGAATGCAGACAAGCTTTACACAGTAACCTGGAAGAGACAGGGGAGGAAGCGAGGTCAGGAAACAGCAGCTGCATCTGTTCTTGGGGTGAGCAAGAACCTTTCTGTGCTAGCCTCTTATTGGAGACTGTAGTGATGAAGCAGAAATGTAGTCAAGGTACCAATGATCCTGAAATCAAAATTACTTGGATTGCTATGGAGAAGAGGAAAAGAGGGAGTTGGAAAATAGGGACAGGAAGACATCCTCTCAGCAAAATTGAGGGCATATTTCTGATACTTTATTTTTACTGTTTCCTTTTTTTTTTTGATTTGGGGTTGTTGTTTTTCTGCTACCTGTTTTTCAACTCCCTTCCTCCATTCTCTCCAAGAAAAGCGTAGGAAAAGGACTACATCCTGCTGGTGCTGACTTCGATATTTCTTAGCAGCAGTCTAGTTGTGCTTCAGTGTAGGAACTAGAGAGGGTGTAAGATTAATCAACGCTTTGCTTGAACTGAAGAGCCACAGAAATCTTGAGTAAATAAAATGATTACTTGCGCATGCCTCACAACCGATCTGCTGTTATTACTTGCCTGATCCACTGATTTGGACTCCATCATCAATGGCATTTCCATTATGAAAGAATCGAATGGGTCCGGAGAGCTGGCCGCTGAAAGGAGCGTACACCGTCGCTCCATCAGCACAGATGACATCCACGCCCATGTGCTTTCCATGCTTTCCATGCTTTCCATGCTTTCCTTTACCACCGTGCCTGAAAATATAAATATGTAATTAGAGAAGTCTGTCAGGCTTAACATTATGTATAGATAGATCAGTTAACACGGTACGGTATCGGAACCTTG